CCCCAAAACCCCAAAACCCCAAAACCCCGAACGGTTGAATTGATTAATGAATCAATATTAATTATATATGACATAAATTATCAAAAATAGATTGAGCCATAATCATATTACCTTTATATTAAAACTGCTCTGTAGCAATAAAACTGTAACAACACAACAACTTAACAGAATACAAAAGTAAAAATCAAATATAATCTGAATGAATCTCTTCCATGATATGCAAGTGCTTAAAAATAGCAGAATGGAACCATAAATAAAGTAGTAAGTGCATCAATTGAATCTGTAAGGTCCTGATTAAATTCAACTCTAGCTATCAACGACTACAATAAGCCATGGGTAGCATGCATTGAAATTCCCAAAAATAGCATAATTGCATAGCAAATATTGCACCAATAATCTCTGCTTTAATCTTCATAGTAATCATAAATTGCTTGTTCATATTCAACAAGCAATACTAATGCTGCAGTAAGCAGACCAAGCATACATAGAGAGCCGAAAATAAATCTGCACGGGTTTGCAAAAAAAACCTTGTACTATATTGTAATAGATCTCAGAGCTTTTCCTACTCCGTACATTGAACAGCAGTATAGTAAAAATTATAGGGGCTGATCCTTATTACTAACTACTCCTTCAGAAAGATAAAGAATAGCCATACAATAGCAAAAGGATTTCACTATTGCCTTTACTAGCATTACAGGAATAAAATAAATCCACTTTAATTTCATTATTTCTGTGATAAAGACAGAAGGACCTAGATGATCTTTGATTTACCTCTATGTTTCATAACCTGGTCTCGGAAGACTTAAAATAAGAGCAAATGAAGCCATACTAACAATCATAAAAGTGTCAACAAGGTGAGGATAAGTAATATAATCTTAGGTTGTTGATGCTGATCCTATTATCACAAAAGCTAAAACTAATCCTATATTGTCTAAGTGTACTAAATACTGATAAGCCTTCTATTTTGGGTAAATATTTGCTGAGTTGTATATATTTAAACAATAATTAGCTCCTCCTTGCCAACACATCTGATATCCAAGACCTCCAAAGAATGATGTAACATAAAGCCATACTAAGTAAAAGGTTCCCTCATAATACTGATCAGTTTCAAAGCTGTAAAGATGGATATTTGTAACCTGCAAAAACATTAGCCCAGATCCAATTATCATCATTGACTAGCATCCTAATTAGTATTGGGCTCTGTTATTGACAAAGATTGCCAAAGAATCTCCAAGTAAATTTAATGCCAAAGAATTAATGCCTGTGTAATATGTAGTTATCCTGAAATCATCTGAGTAGAATATCACCTGCAAGAAGAGTTAAACAATGTAAAAATTATTCTAGAACATAAGGATCACTGAGAGGTAAAACGCTAGTAGTCTGGGATATTTTACCGATTTCTTAACTCTGTCTCCTAATTAAATGAACTTATTTTCTGAAGATGTCAGAAAGTGTTCATCTTCATAATCAAGATCCATCTTAGCTTTATAATAATTATAACTTTTTAATAATCTTTTAATAATTATTAAAATCCAAATCGAATGGGAAATAAGGATACTAGACCTAAATTTGAAAAAGGCCACATTTTCGTTACTGTTGACAAACAACATTACAATGTCGGAGAGGACATTCATGGAGTGGTGCATGTCCAATTAGAGCAGCCATTTGCTGGTAAGGCTTTAAAAGTCGAGATACTTGGTTACGAGAAAACGAAATGGGTCACTCGAGAGCAAAGAGGAGAACATAGTCATAAGGAAACTCACAAGGGTCGACATGAATTTCTCCAAATCCACTATAATATTGCTACATTTGAAGACGGCATAGTACAACCAGGGCAGTACAGTTTTCCTTTTGTTTACAATCTTCCTGAATGGCTACCTTCAAATGTGGTTTATATATCAGATAAGTCATCAAGATTTTGGATTAACTACAAACTCAAAGCCACATTGGAGTAGAACTTTGAGGATTAGAACAAAGCTCCATTGAAGCCTTTCATGTCTAGAAGAAAATTGTATATTCATAAGAAACCTGAACAGCCTCATTTCAACAAGGAACTCAAACTCGAGAAAAATATCAAGACTTTCTACTTTATAAAGCAAGGTCTCTCTAAGGTAGACCTAGTCTTTGAGAAGGATACCTTTTCGTAAGGGGAGGTTGGAAAAGTACTATGCAATGTCGACAACACTAAATGTGACAAGGACATTGAAAGTATCACTATCTTATTTAGAAGTATTACGGTGGGCAAGGACAATAAAAAAAAGCTGTACAAGAAAGTTGACACTCTGAGCAAGACTAAGTATGATGGAGTAAAGTCAGGGACGTCTAAGACTCTTAATTTGGAACTAAGCATTATAGATGATCTTTTAGTTAAGAAGAAGAAAGATTATGTGGATAACTACATGAAGAGTCACAAGTAAAAACTCACAGACTAAGATTACGAAATCACAAAGAATCTGCTACCGACCACAGTAGGAAGCATTATATAATGCAATTATATGCTTGAAGTGCAAATGATTCACAAGGGTGCCACTTTTGGAAGCAAGATACCCACTGGCCAGATGCAAATCCTTATTAACCATCCCTTCGAAAAACCCAGTGGTGTTGAAAGCTAGATTACCCCAGTAATGGCATTATTTGAAAATCAAACTCCCTAAGTGAATGAATAAGTATTCATTGTTCAAGACAATATAAGAGAAGACTAGCTATATCCAATGGTATTCCAGCCCTAACATTAAGATCCAGTGTTTTTAGAGGGCTAACTTTCTATGTCAAGAGTTTCAGAGATTAGTAATCAGCTAATAGGAGGAGATCCCTAAAATCTCCCATACACTAATTAGCAATATGATTGTGGATCTGATGATTAATTCGAGTAGTACAAGAGATACCAACTGGAGCAGTTAAAATTGCTAGACCAAAATCTAAGCTAGAAGTGATTTAAAATATTGCTTTTGATTGTGGAGAGTTTGCGCAGTTAAGCAAGATCAAATATTTTTTATTTTAAGTAATTCTAGGAATAAAAATATAATTAACTGAAATCGATGATCAAGTATTGATGGCTGGGGTTTTGGGGTTTTGGGG